TCCATAGGAAGAACCAAGTCATCATATTTGCCCAAAGGTTCTCCACAGTATTCTTGCATCATCATCAACACCGTTGTTTCTTTTTCAGTTGAGACGTGTGAATTGTCAGGCCCAGTTCCCGTTCCCATTTCTGATCCTGATCCTCGTCCCATCGTTTCTGTGGATTGTAATGGTTTGATTATACTACCGCTCATCATCTCTATGGCTTGTTGCGGCCTGGTCATACTACCTGTCGGTGCGTCTCTGATAGTACCACCACCCTTCATCTCTGTTGATTCCTGTCTCGAGTTGACGCTCAGGGATTCACCCGTTGTCAACTCCCACAAACCATAAAACCTCGGTACACACTGACCCTGTAGCCGAGCTAAAGGACCGCACAATACCCTGGCTTCATTCATGACGTGATGTCTGGCTTGTTCCCCAGTGTATTGAGCGTGTAACGGCGTCGATGTCAGGGTATCTGAGGATTTGGTCGGTTCAGATTCACCGGTACCATGTTCACAATGAGGTCCAATTGGATCCGGAGATTCGCAGTGGTTACTAAACTGAGAAAGGTCGCATAATTTGATAACGACCACGACGGGTGAGGTGGAATTCGGGAACCAAACGTTTGCTAAACACGTGGTGAACAACCTTCCTCTACCTAAGAGGTACGTCAAGTCGATGGTCATCGGTAATTTCGGTGTCGGTCTGGGTGGGTGTGGTAGACCTAGGTCTGTCAATTTGGACTGGGTTTGTGTGTCTTGTTCCAGATGGTGGTTCGTGTTCTTGCTCGTGATTGACACTTTTCGGAGAGATCCGAATGGGATTGAATGGGTCCTATGAATATTCGATTTTTGGTCGACATCCATATCTATCAACAAAGTCTTGTCCGTCGTCTCATCCGAATTTATCTGATCAGACTCGACCACATGACGGATGACCTTCTCTGACTCGTGGATATTCGTATTCAACTCGTTTTGATCAAACTCTTCCGCATGGTCAATATCTTGATCCATCTTTGTGTCTTTACGATACGACATGTTCATATTCAACTTTTTTGGATATGACTCTGGCTCTGATTCTGATGAATGATCAGCATCCCTATCCGACTCTGACTCTGATGAACGGTGAACATCCCTATCCGACTCATTTAGGGAAGATTCAATGACACGTCTGATATACCCCGGTAAATTCCGGAAAGGACTCTCTGGAGAATCTACCAAAGTCATGTCCGTGTTGGTGTTGGTCTTTCGGGAAGAATCAGAATCGGAAATTTGAGTGATATCGGATAACCTGTTGGGTTGACTTGTAGGATTAGGATAGATCAGGTTCCAATTTTGGACGGTCGGTGTTGTGATTTTATGAACAAGAGGTTTTACATTCAGATCTTGATGACTGAATTTGTCGTCGACATTCGAAACGCGAGGTGCTGATGATTCCTCGATGCAATCCGCTGAACTTGGAAGCAACGCTTCCGATGGATGGTCATCTTCTGCACCAGAGGGTACCGGATGATCTTTTTGTAAACCAGGAATACGAGGCGTGACCAAACCATGAGAGGTGAACAAGGTGGGAAAAGGTAGAGTGACATGAGGGATGAAATGTGTCAAAGGGTGATGATTCGAATGACTGTGGGTTCGTTGTTGTTGTTGAGTAGTATGCATTTCGTTTTCGTTACTCTGTTCCGTTTGACCTCGTCCCTCTTTACCTCTCCCAGAGACCCCAGACAACAGCGACGGGCCGGAAACGGAAGCGACCTTGGGTGGTAAAACCCATCGGAAAGGAACCTGAGATCGACCGAGATCGAGGGGGGGAATCAACATGCTTGTCACTACTTCGAGGAAAGAAGCTCTGCTAGATCGTGATGACAAGACGGTGTCCCATCGATCATCATCGACAATGTATGGATGGAAAGTTTCTCTGATGATGGGTGCGAATTCGGTTTTTATACGTTTCACATTTTCTTCCGATGGGTCACGTAGGATCAAACGGGATACTTGGATGTGTCCTTGAGAGGAAAGGACGAGTTGGACACCTGCTTCGTAGGATGATAAGAGACCGAGGGGGGTTTGGTTTTTATGGAATTGTTGGAATATCTAGGAGGGTTAGTTCGGGCTTTGAGTTGGGAGAGGACGAACAGGACGGAGAGGGAGAGGATGGAGAGGATGGAGAGGATGAAGGAGAAGAAGAAGAAGCAAGGAATTCTCAACGAATGGGGGTAAGGACGAAGCGGATAAAATTAAACAAGAACAAGACGTAGAAGAGAACAAAGTCGGAATGAATAACAAGACGAAGCAAAGGCCTCCAAGTGACAGACGAGAAGAAAGTAGTGGTAGACAAGGAGGCAAAGTAGGACCCACCTGAACGAGATACCACCTAAGAGCAGCCGAAACCACGTTGGCTTGATCATTCTCAACGTTTGGTGCAGATTTCGACGAACCGTCCCATACTCGTAGAGAAATACTATTGTTGAACGACATGAAGAAAAGGAAGACGAGGATGTCTCGGAGGGTGAGGAAAGGTTTGAATTCGATGATTCCAACCGTTTGATGAAACGTCATGGGGGGTCGTCCGTCCGGTGTGGGGGTCATGGGACGTTGACGAGAGATGTGAAAGATGCCTGTTGGAGTTGAGGTGGGGGTGAGGTGAGAAGATCCTGAAACAGGGACTGCGGTAAGGGAAGGAGCTGAAGCCGGGGAGGGTTGAAATGAAGAAACAGTTGACGAAGCAGATGTAGATGTGGAAAGAGAAATACTTGGATTTACCCCACTCAAAGCTATAAAATCTGTCGTCCCAGTCCCAACAGCCGCAGCGTAAGAGAACCTTCTATCCAACCCTTTTCCTCCTTCCTTGAAGAGATGTTTGCCTCTACTAACGACGCGATTGGCTGGAGTGAGGTAATTGTTAAAGAATTCCAGTTGGAGTGGTATCTCATCGAATGACATGACTGACCAATCCGTCGAATCGTCAGGTCTCTCGGAATACGTATCGTAATTATACCTTTGCCAATCGTTTGGATCGGTCACAGACGAGACAATGTCTTGGAAATGAGAGATATAGCGGTCGGTCCATTCGGTTCGACGGGATTCTTGTTCGATCAGAAGTCTCTGCCAATCTTGGATGAAATGGGCTTGAGAAGGGTCGGTTGGAGGGAGGGTACGGAGTTGGGTACGGAGTCGGGATATGGAGTTGAGGAGAGGAATGTCGCTGAGGGTGAAACTGCGAGTCAGGCTTACTTTGAGACGGGGTGGTTGAATGACAGGGGAGAAGGGTAAACGGAGAATCGATCAGAGCGAATGAGAGCAACAAGAGTAAGATGTCAAGAGGGATGATAAAAGAAAAGAACGCACGTCAAATGACTCAAAGAAGGGTTCATCAATCTGAAAGAGTCCCACCAAAGTTGAGACCTCTTACTCCAAGGTTTACTCGCCCCCGCAGCTGAAGTCTTTTTACGTTGAGCTCGCAGCTTGGCCGAACTGAGCTGCCTATGATCTGAAGTTTTGGGTCGTTTGCGAGGTGCTTGTTCGATATCGGATCTGTCTCTGAGATGGGATGATGAGCTCGACGTGTGGATGGGATTCATATCTCCAAGTTGACTGTTGAGGTCAGAGTCGACATCCACGTCGACATCCACGTCGACATCCACAGTGGCCGCCGTCTGATCCAACCAAAGACAAGCTTCAGAGGGGTTGAGTGGTGGTGCGACGTGTGAGTTTAGACATTGGGCGAGGGTTGAAAGACGAGCGTAGCGAGGTGGAAGAGTGGTGAGCTGATACCATCGACGAGCATGGGCATCCGGGTCGGGTTGAGGGTCATGTTGGTGTTGAGAGTGAGGGTGTTGTCGTTCTGATTGTGAAAGCGTGTTGAACATGGTATAGGGATACATGGATGATAATGATATATAATCAAATTCACAGGAGCAACTGCAGATGATTACCTCTCTGCCCCAGTTCCCCACATGTGGGAGGCTACTTACACTATATACACTACACACTATAAGTCTAATCCAAACTGCAAACCTATACACATTACATATTAAGCAGCCCTGGCTGCCAAGAGCACATCCTTATACACAATATTCTTCGTCTCACCTCTTCTCCCCTCCTCTGAATTTTCCAGCAAAACCTTGAGACCGTTCTTGAAGTGTGCGCAAGAGAGACCAACATACAGCTGACCATGGGTAAATACCGGCTTTGAGAGACATAAGCCGACTGTTGCGAGAGATTGCCCTTGTGCCTTGTTGATTGTGAGAGCGAGACCGACTCGTATGGGAAATTGACTACGACGCAAGGTGAAAGGTAGGTTGGAGGATTTTGCAGTGTCGAGTTTGATACGCGGGATGAAACACTTATTTGAATGGAAGTCGCCCCCAAGAATGCACCCCTCGATAACATTTGGTAGAAGACGTGTCACATAGATCCGAGTACCGTTGCAAAGACCTGCAGCTGGATCCAAGTTACAAAGCAAAAGAACTGTTCCCCCAACTGTTACAATTGTCTTGTGAAGAGGGAATCCGCCAATTGTGATTGAGTTGAGATATTCAATAGGCCAGAGTTGCTGATTCAAGGGTCGAACACGCGGGTTCCAAGCACCGTCATTCTCAACGATCCAATCTGCACTGAGATACGTCCGAGATTCCCCACTAAGCTGGCCAAGGAGGGTCTTGTTCAAGTCATCAACTTTGGCGTTGGTTGGAGCAAGAACTGGTCGGTCTGCAAAGTACTGAAGAGCAGCTTCTGTTGTCGGAAAGCTCTGAGCCAGGTTGGGATAGACATGCTGCAGCAACTCATTTGTTGACTCCACCCGCAATTCCAGAGGTATTCTCAAAGCGTCCGACTGTTCCCCATCTACTAAACCATCCCCTACCCTGAGAAGCCACTCTGCAAACCCACTTGCTTCCTCCCTCTCAATATCAGACATCTCTGCACTCTGGAGCCGCATGTTGATAGTAAGTTTGAGCCGTTTTACCTTCTGCCACAGACGTGAGCTGGTCAAACATGCGCTCTTGATCTGTGCTTGACTCCCTTTTGGCACCACCGGCAAACACTGTCGAAAGTCTCCTGCAAATACCACTACCACCCCTCCAAATGGCTCTTCAGAACCCCGCACATCCCTCAGCATGTGTTCTACTGCCTCTGCACAGTGTCGATGCTGCATGGGCGCCTCATCCCAAATGATCAGCCTGGTACGCAAGAACAGCTTTGCGAGTTCACTCTGTTTTGAGATGCTGCACTGGGAGTCGCCATGAATGTCGATTGGAATTTTGAACCGGGAATGGGCTGTGTGTCAACTCTGCACTCAAAACACGGCTCACCTGTACGGCCACCCTTTAATAGGATTGCACATATACCTGAAGATCCAACCATCAAGACAATGTCACCTTCCGCTCGCAAGACCGCTGCTACCGTATTCTCCACAAAAGTCTTGCCACAACCACCTGGACCATCAAGGAAAAAGCACGCGGATGTCCGAGCCCTGGCTGCCTGAACTATGTCGTTGATAACTGTCTGCTGTTCCGGATTGGCAATGGCCATGTTGACAGTGCTTGTTTGTTGCAATTCACCCCTGTTGTAAGCCAGTTCTTCATTGATAATGCGACTATCATTGTCTTCCGGAAACACAACTGTTGGTTCAGGAAGATAACACCCAGCCAGACTCTTCCCCCTCTCTTCAAGCAGACCCCCCAGGAGATGTAACGCGTAGGAGAGCCGCTCCTCCACACTTGGGTTCTCCATCCATCCCTTCTGCCGGAGTAGGTGAACACAATCATCACTCAACGCCATTGAGTGTGTCTCCCACAGGTCCGCCGGGCTGGAGGGTTGATTTTCCACCAAAATGATCACAAATAGTCGACGTAGCTGAGATCCTGAGGCATTTGTTGCAGCTTGGGTAAGGCATTCATCAAGATCACGGTCGTCATCAAGTAGGCCAAGGGCAACACAGGCGGCTCGAAAGGTTGGATGCAGAGTATGATCAACGGTACGGAGACTTTCAAAAGATGTTGGGCAGGGAACATGATAGAGCAGAAGTCGCAGATAATAGAGCTCCCCAGACTGAGGACCGGCAAAATACACTCTCCCAATAGCTGTTCCACGTTTCCGAGGCTTCCAAACACGTTCCTTGGCGTGCCAACAGAGTAACTCGGGTACATCGGCATATATCTTGTCACGGAGTAACTCTGAATAGGTCTCGCAAGCTTTGAAGTACCCCAATAACCGGCTGTTGCGCTGAAGTTCCTCTGGTAGATTTGCACGTTTGTCTTCAGGCACAAATTGCACTTGATCTTCGTCTGGAAGATGGAGCTGAAGTCGTTCAACGGGTGGAAAGTGTCCATGCATGGGATTACCGCTCAGTCGCCAAACCGCTGATATAATGTTAGCTCAGCAGTACAATCCTCACTATGACTCACATTCAGATGCTGAAACCCAGCGCGCATCCACATACCGATTGATTTCATCGAGATGCACTTGATTAGGAACCACCACCACATTCGCTCGATCATGACCCTTATAGACATACTTGAACATATACTTCACTGCACTGATTCAAGTGCAAACCTCTACATTGATGTGCGCATTGAATCGAGCTGATAAATACGGATTGTAAGGGACCACATGCTGATTGGTATATGTAATACGGTTCTTGGTCCATGACCGTCCATTGTCTCGTCTTCGGTAAACAGGGTAACCATCTTGCTCCATTGTTGTCTCCGGTTGAAAAGCCCAGGGGAACTTCTTTGAACATTGGCCATCACGACACATCTGGGCTTGGCATCGATCACTGCATGTATGCAGCATACAGGATGTTACAACCTTGAAAAGCACAGGCTGAGTCTCCTCACAGGGGAGTTCAGCACATACAATCTTGTCAACATCGGCCGGTGTGCGTGGTTTGTCATCTGGGGCAAGGCACATGAGGAGATGACAGTGTGGAAGCCCCCGTTTCTGAAACTCAATAACCCAAATCCTTGCAACCACCTTCTCATCAGCAATTTCACCTCTAGCAGATACTATTGACGTACCTTTCCCAATACTCCCAACTTAAAAAACTCATGCAGCATGGCGTCAAGCTTGAGTGCAAAGACTCTTGAGACCAAGTCAGGGCGGTCTTGAGCGGTCGGTCCTGGTTCCAACTCTTGAGCGATCTCCGTCCAGGTGGGATTGCATGTGATCGTTACAAATAGGTCAGGCTTCGTCACATGTGAGACAATAGACATGGCATCCTGGTACAGGGCGTGCATCTGACGCGGCGAACCGGCAAATGTTGAGGGGAGCACCACCTTTTTGCCTACATCAACTAAAGGAATCCCAGCATCAACTGCATCCACCAATCCCTTGTAAGATTCAGCTCGGAGAGTGGTTTGATTCTCTCGGATCCATCGCAGACGGTTTGATTCGGTCTGGGCCCACTGATCCACCAATAGCTCCTGAAAGAGTCGTCCACAATAGAGTGCGGTGTTGAAATTGCCCGATCGCTTGAAGAGATAATAGGTTGCAAATTGTGCTTGAGTCACTCGCTTAGATCCTCCACGCCCATAGCGTCTTACTTCAGCTACCAATCCACCATCTCCAGCATTTCCATCCTCAATATCTTCCCCCTCACCAATCTCGTCATCATCTCCCAGTGGTTGCCCAGCCAAAGGGATCCTTGGATGCCATCCCGGCTCTCCGTGTGGGTATATGAGAGTGAAGTGCAGGGGAAGATATGCTGAGTGGAGTTCACTAACGTTGCGAACCCCACCGCCTCGCAGATAAACTTGAATGTGACGACCCGGGGACGGTTCATTTTCATCGGCAACATATACACATGCAACTTCATCTGACGTAGGTCGGTTATATCGGCGAGGGTCGTTTTGCAGAGGATTTAGAACTGTAAGATACAGAATCGGTGTGTCCTCTTCAGATTCCCTGTCTCGATCCCGGAAATTCTTGAAAGCAGCATAGTAGGGGTTCACCCTTTCTATCATTTGAGCCAGACGGGTCAGAACACCCTCCTCACCTCTCCCTCGGATGTGAATGTTTCGCTGAGCAGCCTGTTCTGCTTCAGACAGACCCGCCAGGAAGACTTGAGCAAATCGGGGATGTTCTCCAGCTTCAGGGAGTAATGCCCCAATTTGGTGGTATGCTCGTCCGCCAATACGAAAGGTGTATATCCCTTGAGGTCCCCAAACCTGCATGTCTTGCTTATCAACACCCATTGAGGTGAAAGCAAGAGAATTATTATAGTTTCGGAGCTGCTCACGCCGCAGCTTACCTTCTACAGGGGTCAGCCAGTAGTCTACACTCAAATGGGATACTGACGGTGTGTCTGATCTGTCAACAAATCACGTAGTTCCAATGGAGGGTCAACCGGCAATGGCAATTGGACCGCACCATTTCCGCAGCAGGAGGAGAATCGGGGTGCAGACACTGTTGACGGCTCCCCTCCAGCTGCAACTCTAGGAGCTCGTTCCTCGATCCAGTGTAATGCACCACATTTAGGACATGGTACTTCACAGCGTCCCAGTTGATGGAGTTGAACTGTGTTCAAGTCCGACTGCCTGGCTAAAGGAATTCGAGGAGGCGGTACTGGAGGTGGGATGTGATCTCTTGACTGCAACTCTCTCTGACGACGTGCCTGCTGGCCGATCTGCCGACGGGATTGCCCCACAACCTGATGTGCTCCTTCAGGATTACCCCCAACTTGAGTCGCATGATCCCTATCCTCGTCTTCCAGCTGACCTCCCCCATTTACGGTCATGCCAACATTATGGGTAACTGTGTGTGACGGTCCTGCTCCCGAGCCATGATCTCTGACTTCCTCTGCCTCTCTTCTTTCACGTTCACGGTCCCTGCGCATACGTTGGGCAAGCTGACGCCGCGAGAGACCTTCATTTTGAGTGTTCATATGTTCGTTCATTTTTATCTCTGAGTAATAAGCAATGGGCATTGGTCCTTCAGGGGAATAAGGCTTACATAGGTGTAAAGACAACGTATGGATTGTAGAAGGTGTAAAGGTTCACGGTGTGAACGGGGGTGCGAGTCACCTCGGAGAGCCCCGTGAAATGGTAGCGTAAGACGCAAAAGTGTAACGGTGCACGGTGTGAACGGGGGTGCGAGTCGCCTCGGAGAGCACCGTGAAAAGATAGCGTAAGACGCGAAAGTGTAAAGGTGCACGGTGTGAACGGGGGTGCGAGTTGCCTCGGAGAGCCCCGTGAAACGATAACGTGTAAAAGTGCACGCGGACCGGGGATCGTCCAAATCTTTCTCCCCTACAGGTAGCAGAGAAGTCTGTGGAGCAGTTTACATGTGACGGAACCCCCTGAGCGCGAAAAAACGTGAGAAAGCGAAAAAAAAGTCGAAATTGGCCGGTCGGACCCCCTATTTAGGGGATTTTGAGGGATCGAAAACTCGGTTGGACTCAAAGCCACCGACTTCCGTGACGCTTCCGTGATGCCACGTGGTTTGTCTCCACGTGGTTTGTCTCCACGTGGTTTGTCTCGAGGGTAAATCTGTTATTATAATAGATAATCATCTATCTATAATATATACACGGAGAGGTGTTGGAGTGGACACATAACCACGTGGCGCGACCTCGGCTCACACACCTGTAAAATTTGCCTCCGAGATCTCGCAACATTCATCATCATACATTCATCATCATACATCCAACATCATGCATCCATCATGCCTGTCCATTCAAGCGTCCAATCATGCTTGTCACGATGACAACTGTCTAGTGGCAATAGAAGAGTGCGTCGTGGTGCTGGCCGGCGTTATTCAAGGTCCGCTCAGTGGCGATTTCATGTCCGTCTATGAATCCTCCCCATTCCTCTACTGAGTAGTACTCGTTCCCACGGGGTCCTCGACGAAATTCGAACAATGTTTACGCGACTCATCACGTCCACCCATTGTTGACACTGGATCTCTTCAAAGAACTTCATTTGCATACCTGAACTGCTCTCAAGATGGAAGCAGCCATTACATACAAGAAGAACAACCCATCCGAGAGCCTGCGTAAAGTGGCAGCTCGGTTCAACATCTCTCATGTCACTCTCCACGATCGACTCAATGAGACACATCTCCCATCCGGTATTCGCACTGTCCGTCGTCTCTCTGTCATCCAGGCGGAGGCTATATTGGCAAAGATCAACCAATATGCATACCGAGGTACTCTCCTAACTCCAAGACATGTTCGACACTTCGCACAATCCTTGTCCACTGCAACTCTTGGTATCAACTGGACTTCAACTTTCCTCAGCCGTCATCGCGATCGAGTTTCGTCAAATTCTACCGTGTACAGGAGATTGCAAGGATCCGGGCCAATACTTCAGAAAAGAGGGTTGCGTTCTTAACCCTGGTAAATTATGCACTCCTATCTCCAACTCCGTGATAGTTTCAACAACTCCGTGATAGTTCCAACTCTGTGATAGTCACTGACACTTTCAGGTAAAAGAAACACTTGAGACTGGTGATTTTCAACCTGAAAACATCTATAATGTCAATGAGGTTGGCCTTGATCTATCTGGATCTCGAAAGATATGCAGAGTTGGTCCTTGAGACGCTCCAATCAAGTCTCAAGCTGCGCTGTCAGATGCCATACATATCACCGTTGTCGCTACCATCTCCACCTCTGACACACCTGTCCCTCCCTTCATCATCTACCCTGGGACATACCTCATGCAAGATTGGACAAGAGTCCGTGATCCTACTCCCAACCAGCTGGCTACCGTCACCAATAGCGGCTACATCAACACTTATACAATGCAGCAATGGCTTACGGAGTGCTTCCATCCCTTCACCCGTGATCGTGCGGCCGGGAACCCTCGTCTCCTGATTTTGGACGGTCATGAGACTCATACAAACATCGACTTCTTGGACGCTTGTTGGGACAGGAACATCATCTGCCTTATCCTCCCTGCTCACTTGTCTGGTGTCTTTCAACCACTTGATGTCAACTTCTTTAACGATCTCAAGCTCAGATACTACGAAGAGATCAGCGACTATCAGCTTGGATCTGAGTCTCATGGTGCGGCAAAAGGCTTTTTCTACCGATGGCATCAGCGAGCCTGGACCAAAACCGCCAACAATCGACAGATCCGATCGGCGTGGGCTGAATCTCACCTCTATCCTATTGGCCGTGTATACCATGCCCTACAGGCAGATCAGTGAGTCACTCCTCCCCCCCCCCCCCCTGATCGCTTGCAACAGCTAATACCCCCATGTCATACATCACCTACTTGCCACCTAAGACAGTCTTTTCCCGTGTTCCCACACTTGAAACACATCTGGGACACTTACCCCTGACCCCCTTTGGCTTAGGTTTATTGTTCTTGATCTCCATCAACAATCCCTATTGTCATCTCTTACACTCCCACACTTGAAACACCTACCCCTGAACCCCTGTGCTCTTAATCTATTGTTCCCCACCTATGAATCTCTTGTTTAATCTCATTCTCAACTTGTCAGTCCAGTCAGATCCAGCCTGACATCTTGCAGTTCCCTCAGTTCCCTCAATTCCCTCAGTTCCCTCAGTCCCTTGTCACCCTCTGTATACTCCTCAAGCTCTACGAGTCTGAGACAAGTATTGGGTTACAGCCCCATCTCAGTCACCTTGCTTACCCTTTGGGGATAAGACCCCGCCCGTGACAGTATTCATAGGTCACCCAATTGTCCTTGCTCTATCCCAGTCCCCCAAGTACCCCTGTACTTTATCCAACCAATACTTTCCTTCACCAACCTGGAAATCACAAAAACAACCAAGAAAACATCCTCAGGAAGGATTTGCCACCCAGAGAAAAAATTGCCACCCACTGTAGAACAGAATAATTGGAGTTGGATAAAAGAAGAAGGATCATAAAAAGATTTGCCACCCACTCCAGTCCACAGAAAACACACCTTATATCAACAACATAATCCCTTCTATCATCCAGCCCACACATCATGTCTTCTGAACAACACCACAACACTCAGTTAGGCTCTGAACAGGGTGCCCAAGCTCAGTTCACCCCTAAAGAGCTATTCCTCCAAATGCAAAATCGTATCCAACAACTTGAAGCTGCCTTCAGCGCTATCACCATCACTTCCCAACCTGTCACCTCAAGCAAGGAGCCAAAGATCACCAGTCCTGCAGCCTTCACTGGACGTAAGGATGAAGCTTCTGAGTTCCTGCTCAAGTGTGACATGGTATTCAACATCCAACCTCGTACATATTCCTCTGAAGCATCCAAGATTGCTTTTGTCACCAACCTACTCAAGGATGAAGCATACCGCTGGGTCATGCCCCACCTTCTTCTTCCAGTGGAACAGAAACCCATGTGGGTCAAGGATTGGAATCACTTCAAAGCCGAGTTCAAAAAGGTATTTGGAGACTCCAATATCAGTGAAACTTCCCGCCACAAACTCAAGTCACTTCGTCAAACTGGTTCAGCCACCTCATATGCAACCAAATTCCAACGCCATGCTGCTTATTTGGCTTGGAATGATGCAGCTCTTCGTCAGAATTTCTTTGATGGCCTCAAGGAGGATGTGAAGGACAAACTCCTTACTCCCAACAACTTTAAGGATTTCACTACCCTTGTGGATACTGCAGTCACCTGGGATGACTTGCTTTTCCAACGTCGCAAAAATAATTCATCCTCCAACAACTTCAGGAATACCAACAAGTCTTATCAACCCTTCAAGTCCGTCACTCCTTTCCAAACCACAACTCGTACCAACAACTCGTCTTCATTCAGCACTTCCACTCCAGGCTCAACTCCCATGGAGATTGATGCTGTCCATCCCAAGTTCTCTCCCATTTCTGCTGAGGAACGCCTCAACTGTATGAAGAACAACCTCTGTCTTTACTGTGGCAAGCCTGGTCACAAAGCTCAAGACTGTCGAGCCCGTGCTAGGTGCCAGCGAGGTCAGGTCAACGCAACCTCTACTACATCTAAGGTTGTTACTCAAGTAACTCCTACCAACCAAGCAAAAAACTCCAAGCCCCAGAATTAGACGTGCCCCCATCTCTGGGGCTCTCTCCTGGGCACAATCCGGTACTATCAGAACGTCATTTGATCACGGCAACATCGCTACTCTCAACTATCCCAGCAACACCATCTGAACACCTTTGTCTTCCTATCACTCTGTCCTTCAATAATCATCACTATGACACCTATGTGTAACGGTACTGGAAACACGACGACTAGGTCGCAGGTTGGGTCGAACTCGATGGATGTCTCGTGGAAATCTAGGGGCTCTGGTGCTAATGGATCGTGTCTCCTCTGCAATCGATGTAGCCAAAGAATGATATTGAAGAATCAGCAAAGTTGGTACTTTGCTGATTGTACTATATACTGTCTACGTCTATCCTTGTCCTCGTCTCCTTCCTGCTGCAAGCGTCTACGTACATACTCGGACAGGTGAAAAACCGCTTTGAGCAAACCCAGTGGGGAAATCTCGAAAGGGGAAAACCCGTCCCTACCTACTGCAGCACTGCCTCCAACTCCCGCTTTCCTCTGTCCTAATCCGTCGAACTCGATAGAGTCCTCTCGATTCGTTGTTACCCCGTAACACTATGCTATGCTTGACTCAGGTGCTACCAATAGCTTCCTGGATGTCAACTTCCTCAAGACAACCCTAGTCCCATCCGTCAAGAAGGATGAACCCCTAGAAGTGCATGTCATTGATGGTCGACCAATCTCTTCCGGCGACATCACACATCACACGGCTCCAGTAACTTTGTCAATCCTAGATCATGAGGAGGAAATCTCCCTTGATATCACTTCTCTTGGAACCTACCCTGTTATCTTAGGCCTACCATGGCTCTCCCAGCACAACCCTGTTATTGATTGGACCCGTGAGTCCATCAATTTCTCCTCCCCGTACTGTCTTCAGCAGTGCATCAGGTTTGACAAACCTGAGGGTCGAGATTCCGTCATACACTCCCAGTCACCCGGCAACCTGTCTAGCAAGACTGCTTCAGTGTCACGGCCGTCGAATAACTTCTTTCCAATAGACCGACGGTCGACGAACCTCGGCTAACTTGGTGGTCCTAATTCGATGTCTCACCCAACCAGGAGGGCGCAGACGTCGAAAGGAGTGTAACTACGGCGTACTTCGGCGTAGTTACTCTAACTGGGATTTGGTTCTACTGATGGCGATGTATCTCGATTGTATATAGCTATCTCTATCTGTCTTTTACTACTGACAACAATCAAGGATCGCTGAAGAACTTCAGCGATCTTCTCAGCTAATATTATCTATTCCTCCTAGACGTTCATCCAACCCTCTCGCGCTTTGACGTACTTCAACGCACTTCGTCCAACTTCCCCGAGTCCTCGGCCATCCTCTTCCTCCTTCGACTAACTCCGCCTAACATCGCCGCACTTCTGCTTCCATTGTCCCTACCTAGCCTAACTCCGTCTAACTTCGCCGTACTTCTGCTCCCATTGTCCCTACCTAGCCTAACTCCGTCTAACTTCGCCGTACTTCTGCTCCCATTGTCCCTACCTAGCCTAACTCCGTCTAACTTTGCCGTACATCTGCTCCCAGATGTCCTGAGTTACGTGTAGAGTAAAAAGGTTAAGGCGTGATGGGGGTTTTGATGGTCAGAGGAGGGTCATTGTTGGTGGAATAATCGAGGTGTCACGACGTAGATCGTGACACATTCCTTTTGAGACAGTCGCAGAATGGGCCAGGGTAGGTGCCTGAAGTGGACTGACAGCGCTGAGATCCTTCAGTCACAAGTGGTGACACGCACCTGGTCTTATTCAAATTTCAATAGTACATGGATTACGAAATCAATTAGAATCGACACGGCTGAACGTACAGGGTTGATTCCTTTTGAGACAGTCTCAGAATGGGCCAAAGTAGGTGCCTGAAGTGGAGTGACAGCCCTGAGATCCCTCAATCACGAGTGGTAACATGTACCTGCACTTATTCCAATTGCAATAGTACATGGATTACGAAATCAATTAGAATCGACACGGCTGAACGTACAGGGTTGATTCCTTTTGAGACAGTCTCAGAATGGGCCAAAGTAGGTGCCTGAAGTGGAGTGACAGCCCTGAGATCCCTCAATCACGAGTGGTAACATGTACCTGCACTTATTCACATTTCAATAGTACATGGATTACGAAATCAATTAGAATCGACACGGCTGAACATACAGGGTTGATTCCTGTTGAGACAGTCTCATAATGCCTCTGAAAAGGCCTTAAATCAGTTCTGACATCCCTGAGATCCCTCGGGCACGAGCAGTAACACACACCTGGTCTTATTCAAATTTCAATAGTACATGGATTACGAAATCAATTAGACTCGACACGGCTGAACGTACAGGGTTGATTCCTTTTGAGACAGTCTCAGAATGGGCCGAAGTAGGTGCCTGAAGTGGACTGACAGCGCTGAGATCCCTCAGTCACAAGCAGTAACACACACCTGGTCTTATTCACTGACAGCCCTGAGATCCCTTGGGCGCGAGCAGTAACACACACCTGGTCTTATTCAAATTTCAATAGTACATGGATTACGAAATCAATTAGAATTGACACGGCTGAACGTACAGGGTTGATTCTTTTTCAGACAGTCTCAGAATGCCTCTGAAAAGCCCTTAAATCAGTTCTGACAGCCCTGAGATCCCTTGGGCACGAGCAGTAACACACACCTGGTCTTATTCAAATTTCAATAGTACATGGATTACGAAATCAATTAGAATCGACACGGCTGAACGTACAGGGTTCATTCCTTTTGGGACAGTCTCAGAATGGGCCAAAGTAGGTGCCTGAAGTGGACTGACAGCCCTGAGTTCCCTCAGTCACGAGTGGTAACACGCACCTGGGCTTATTCAAATTTCAATAGTACATGGATTACGAAATCAATTAGAATCGACACGGCTGAACGTACAGGGTTGATTCCTTTTGAGACAGTCTCAGAATGCCTCTGAAAAGCCCTTAAATTAGTTCTGACAGCCCTGAGATCCCTCGGGCACGAGCAGTAACACACACCTGGTCTTATTCAAATTTCAATAGTACATGGATTTCGAAATCAATTAGAATCGACACGGCTGAACGTACAGGGTTCATTCCTTTTGGGACAGTCTCAGAATGGGCCAAAGTAGGTGCCTGAAGTGGACTGACAGCCCTGAGATCCCCCGGGCACGAGCAGTAACACACACCTGGTCTTATTCAAATTTCAATAGTACATGGATTTTGAAATCAATTAGAATCGACACGGCTGAACGTACAGGGTTCATTCCTTTTGGGACAGTCTCAGAATGGGCCAAAGTAGGTGCCTGAAGTGGACTGACAGCCCTGGGTTCCCTCAGTCACGAGTGGTAACACACACCTGGTCTTATTCAAATTTCAGGGGTACATGGATTTCGAAATCAATTAGAATCGACACGGCTGAACGTACAGGGTTAATTCCTTTTGACACAGTCTCAGAATGCCTCTGAAAAGGCCTTAAATCAGTTCTGACATCCCTGAGATCCCTCGGGCACGAGCAGTAACACACACCTGGTATTATTCAAATTTCAATAGTACATGGATTACGAAATCAATTAGAATCGACACGGCGGAACGTACAGGGTTGATTCCTTTTGAGACAGTCTCAGAATGGGCCAAAGTAGGTGCCTGAAGTGGACTGACAGCCCCGAGATCCCTCGGACACGAGCAGTAACACACACCTGGTCTTATTCAAATTTCAAGAGTACATGGATTATGAAATCAATTAGAATCGACACGGCTGAACGTACGGGGTTGATTCCTTTTGAGACAGTCTCAGAATGAGCCAAAGTAGGGGCCTGAAGTGGACTGACAGCCCTGAGATCCCGCAGTCACGAGTGGTAACACGTACCTGCGTTTATTCCAATTGCAATAGTACATGGATTACGAAATCAATTAGAATCGACACGGCTGAACGTACAGGGTTGATTCCTTTTGAGACAGTCTCAGAATGCCTGTGAAAAGCCCTTAAATCAGTTTTGACAGCCCTGAGTTCCCTCAATCACGAGTGGTAACACGCACCTGGGCTTATTCAAATTTCAATAGTACATGGATTACGAAATCAATCAGAATCGACACGGCTGAACGTACAGGGTTGATTCCTTTTGAGACAGTCTCAGAATGCCTGTGAAAAGCCCTTAAACCAGTTCTGACAGCCCTGAGATCCCTTGTGCACGAGCAGTAACACACACCTGGTCTTATTCAAATTTCAATAGTACATGGATTTCGAAACCAATTAGAATCGACACGGCTGAACGTACAGGGTTCATTCCTTTTGGGACAGTCTCAGAATGGGCCAAAGTAGGTGCCTGAAGTGGACTGACAGCCCTGAGTTCCCTCAGTCACGAGTGGTAACACGCACCTGGGCTTATTCAAATTTCAATAGTACATGGATTACGAAATCAATTAGAATCGACACGGCTGAACGTACAGGGTTGATTCCTTTTGAGACAGTCTCAGAATGCCTGTGAAAAGCCCTTAAACCAGTTCTGACAGCCCTGAGATCCCTTGGGCACGAGCAGTAACACACACCTGGTCTTATTCAAATTTCAATAGTACATGGATTACGAAATCAATTAGAATCGACACGGCTGAACGTACAGGGTTGATTCCTTTTGGGACAGTCTCAGAATGGGCCAAAGTAGGTGCCTGAAGTGGACTGACAGCCTGGGTTCCCTCAGTCACGAGTGGTAACACACACCTGGTGTATTCAAATTTCAGGGGTACATGGATTTCGAAATCAATTAGAATCGACACGGCTGAACGTACAGGGTTAATTCCTTTTGACACAGTCTCAGAATGCCTCTGAAAAGGCCTTAAATCAGTTCTGACATCCCTGAGATCCCTCGGGCACGAGCAGTAACACACACTGGTATTATTCAAATTTCAATAGTACATGGATTACGAAATCAATTAGAATCGACACGGCGGAACGTACAGGGTTGATTCCTTTTGAGACAGTCTCAGAATGGGCCAAAGTAGGTGCTTGAAGTGGACTGACAGCCCCGAGATCCCTCGGACACGAGCAGTAACACACACCTGGTCTTATTCAAATTTCAAGAGTACATGGATTACGAAATCAATTAGAATCGACACGGCTGAACGTACGGGGTTGATTCCTTTTGAGACAGTCTCAGAATGAGCCAAAGTAGGGGCCTGAAGTGGACTGACAGCCCTGAGATCCCGCAGTCACGAGTGGTAACACGTACCTGCGTTTATTCCAATTGCAATAGTACATGGATTACGAAATCAATTAGAATCGACACGGCTGAACGTACAGGGTTGATTCCTTTTGAGACAGTCTCAGAATGCCTGTGAAAAGCCCTTAAATCAGTTTTGACAGCCCTGAGTTCCCTCAATCACGAGTGGTAACACGCACCTGGGCTTATTCAAATTTCAATAGTACATGGATTACGAAATCAATTAGAATCGACACGGCTGAACGTACAGGGTTGATTCCTTTTGAGACAGTCTCAGAATGCCTGTGAAAAGCCCTTAAACCAGTTCTGACAGCCCTGAGATCCCTTGGGCACGAGCAGTAACACACACCTGGTCTTATTCAAATTTCAATAGTACATGGATTACGAAATCAATTAGAATCGACACGGCTGAACGTACAGGGTTGATTCCTTTTGAGACAGTCTCAGAATGCCTGTGAAAAGCCCTTAAATCAGTTCTGACAGCCCTGAGATCCCTTGGGCACGAGCAGTAACACACACCTGGTCTTATTCAAATTACAATAGTACATGGATTACGAGATCAATTAGAATCGACACGGCTGAACATACAGGGTTGATTCCTTTTGAGACAGTCTCAGAATGGGCCAAAGTAGGTGCCTGAAGTGGAGTGACAGCCCTGAGATCCCTCAATCACGAGTGGTAACATGTACCTGCACTTATTCACATTTCAATAGTACATGGATTACGAAATCAATTAGAATCGACACGGCTGAACATACAGGGTTGATTCCTGTTGAGACAGTCTCATAATGCCTCTGAAAAGGCCTTAAATCAGTTCTGACATCCCTGAGATCCCTCGGGCACGAGCAGTAACACACACCTGGTATTATTCAAATTTCAATAGTACATGGATTACGAAATCAATTAGAATCGACACGGCGGAACGTACAGGGTTGATTCCTTTTGAGACAGTCTCAGAATGGGCCAAAGTAGGTGCCTGAAGTGGACTGACAGCCCCGAGATCCCTCGGACACGAGCAGTAACACACACCTGATCTTATTCAAATTTCAAGAGTACATGGATTACGAAATCAATTAGAATCGACACGGCTGAACGTACGGGGTTGATTCCTTTTGAGACAGTCTCAGAATGGGCCAAAGTAGGTGCCTGAAGTGGACTGACAGCCCTGAGATCCCGCAGTCACGAGTGGTAACACGTACCTGCGCTTATTCCAATTGCAATAGTACATGGATTACGAAATCAATTAGAATCGACACGGCTGAACGTACAGGGTTGATTCCTTTTGAGACAGTCTCAGAATGGGCCAAAGTAGGTGCCTGAAGTGGAGTGACAGCCCTGAGATCCCTCAATCACGAGTGGTAACATGTACCTGCACTTATTCCAATTGCAATAGTACATGGATTACGAAATCAATTAGAATCGACACGGCTGAACGTACAGGGTTGATTCCTTTTGAGACAGTCTCAGAATGCCTGTGAAAAGCCCTTAAATCAGTTCTGACAGCCCTGAGATCCCTTGGGCTCGAGCAGTAACACACACCTGGTCTTATTCAAATTTCAATAGTACATGGATTTCGAAACCAATTAGAATCGACACGGCTGAACGTACAGGGTTCATTCCTTTTGGGACAGTCTCAGAATGGGCCAAAGTAGGTGCCTGAAGTGGACTGACAGCCCTGAGTTCCCTCAGTCACGAGTGGTAACACGCACCTGGGCTTATTCAAATTTCAATAGTACATGGATTTCGAAACCAATTAGAATCGACACGGCTGAACGTACAGGGTTCATTCCTTTTGGGACAGTCTCAGAATGGGCCAAAGTAGGTGCCTGAAGTGGACTGACAGCCCTGAGATCCCCCGGGCACGAGCAGTAACACACACCTGGTCTTATTCAAATTTCAATAGTACATGGATTTTGAAATCAATTAGAATCGACACGGCTGAACGTACAGGGTTCATTCCTTTTGGGACAGTCTCAGAATGGGCCAAAGTAGGTGCCTGAAGTGGACTGACAGCCCTGGGTTCCCTCAGTCACGAGTGGTAACACACACCTGGTCTTATTCAAATTTCAGGGGTACATGGATTTCGAAATCAATTAGAATCGACACGGCTGAACGTACAGGGTTAATTCCTTTTGACACAGTCTCAGAATGCCTCTGAAAAGGCCTTAAATCAGTTCTGACATCCCTGAGATCCCTCGGGCACGAGCAGTAACACACACCTGGTATTATTCAAATTTCAATAGTACATGGATTACGAAATCAATTAGAATCGACACGGCGGAACGTACAGGGTTGATTCCTTTTGAGACAGTCTCAGAATGGGCCAAAGTAGGTGCCTGAAGTGGACTGACAGCCCCGAGATCCCTCGGACACGAGCAGTAACACACACCTGGTCTTATTCAAATTTCAAGAGTACATGGATTACGAAATCAATTAGAATCGACACGGCTGAACGTACGGGGTTGATTCCTTTTGAGACAGTCTCAGAATGAGCCAAAGTAGGGGCCTGAAGTGGACTGACAGCCCTGAGATCCCGCAGTCACGAGTGGTAACACGTACCTGCGTTTATTCCAATTGCAATAGTACATGGATTACGAAATCAATTAGAATCGACACGGCTGAACGTACAGGGTTGATTCCTTTTGAGACAGTCTCAGAATGCCTGTGAAAAGCCCTTAAATCAGTTTTGACAGCCCTGAGTTCCCTCAATCATATTTCCAACCTCGCCGTCGAGCTTATTCAAATTTCAA